AAAATAAAATAAAAATAAAAATAACAAAAATAAATAAAAATAACGAAATTAAAACTAAACAACAATGCAACATTTTAACACAATTATCACAAAATNCGGCCTGGACGGATGGCTTAGATCGAACGCCCTCATACGGCGTCGTTTGAATTGCTGCTTAGGCAGCCGGTTTTGGACTGGATCAGTGCTGGTTGGGCCTGTTTTCGTTTCATTTCTTTTGGGCCCAACCGATTTCCTTCCCTCTTTGTTTTCTAATTTCATTTTTCTTTTAAAACAAAACAAAATAAAAATAAAAATAACAAAAATAAATAAAATAACGAAATTAAAACTAAACAACAATGCAACATTTTAACACAATTATCACAAAATATTTAAGTAAGTGAACTAAAAGCCTAGAACGAACGATGCACAAATACATATATATTTTTTTTGAATTTTCTTTTAACGACAGGCATTTTTGTATTTTTGTTTGATAATGACTAGATGCAAAATGGACAGACCCACAAATGACCAACAACACATGTTACGGAAAGATCGAAAAATTGTATAGCGAAGCCATTTGTCACTATTTTTATTTTCTTTTGGAGCGATTGTCCGTGAAGCAAAAATCACGTGCTTACACTCGTCCCTGAGTTGATATCTCTCTGGCGGCTTTGACCGGAAAACCGACTACTCATGAACAGAGGCTGAGTTGCCCTCTAATGCTCCCCTACAATGGTGCTAAAAATTGATCACGTCCAAATGCACACCTCAAAGGAGATATGACATGGTCGTATGCAATAATAAAACCTAACGAAACGTCAGAGTCGAATCCGCATGGAGTTAACATGGGAGCTAGGAGTATATATTCGGAATAAGTAAGTGAAGTATCTAGATTTCACTTCTACAATGAAGTTTTTGTTTCTATTTCTAATGCTAATCTAAGGATTACAAAATAAAGACAGAAGACTCGAGATAATTATTTTTGTGGTTTTTCTAAATATATAAAAGGCCTAGGGCTGTGACCATGGCCTAGGTATTTACCTAATGGGATGAAGACTTGATTGGGGTATATATAGCTCACAACTCTATATTACCCACTCAATACCTATCGGTCAGAAAGTGATTTTGCCCAATTTAGCTTTCTCAAGATCAAATGGGTATCAATCAAAACAGATGACAAGAGCTCAAGTTGGCTTGTTACTATCTCTAGGTTGAACCCTTTAATTGGGTTAATCAATCTCTCAATTGACTCAATTCCTTATTAGCTAAGTTATCCTAGACTAGGTCCCTCTTTCTCAAATAGAGACTAAGTCAAATAGGCATGGATCAATGTTTGCAACCATCAATTCTACAATTGAAGCATGAACTAAGCTAAATAATATAAACAAGAATTAGTCACCCATAAGGTTTACACACTAGGGTTGGGTCACAACCCTAGTAAAAATCTAGTTGCTCATAGTGGGTATTGAAGAAAATAAGGAAGAAAAGCTAATAAAACTCATATTGGAAGACTAAAATAAAGAAATCCAATGTTAAAACACCAAAATAAGCTAAAACTTCCTAAAACAGCAAAGAGAAACGGCTAAAGTACTTTTAGATGTTCGAACTTGATCTAATTTTGTGAAACTCGTCCATTTATACAAGGCTAAAAATCTCGGAAAAAAAATGCTCCTTGGGAGGTTCTGCAGCCACACAATTCCATATGCGGTCCGCAGATTTCTTCATTTGTCAAGAACTGGGGATCTGCGGCCGCGAGACACCTCTTCTGTGGTCCACACAATTAGGACTGCGGCCGCACAATCTTGTGTGGTTCGCAATTTACAGAGGCTCCGGACTTGGTCTTTTACTGATCTTCAACTCTTAGCCCAGTTTTATGGTCGCACAATTCATGCGCAGTCCGCTCTTTGCACAAATGTCTGCTAGATTCTTCTTCTTGGTTTGCGGCCCTAGATAGATTTCTGCGGTCCGCAATTTCTTCTGCGGACCGCACTTTTTAAGCTTTTGTTTTGTTTCCGTGTGCCTCGGATTACTCCTTGAATTTCATCTCGGGAGATCAACTTCCATTATTCCTGCAATTTTGCACAATTTCATCAGTTTCGGGAATACAATTCAATGCATTTACGCTAAAACAAAAGCTTAAAAGACACTAATAAGCACTCAAAATCCCCACTTATCAACTATCTCCACCAATGAAAGAAAAGAAATAAAGAAAAAAAGAAAGAAAGAAAGAAAGAAAGAAAGAAAGAAAGAAAGAAAGAAAGAAAGGCATTACATAATCTTTTGTGCTCTCACCCAATAATAATAGAGGGACTTGAACCGTGGTGAGTTTTAAAGTTGACGGATTTTTCTCTTATTATGAATTTTATTGTTGTCGGTATTAATACGTAAATGCTCAAATTGTATAGGGTACTCGCGAATAACATGAGGTATAAGATTAAAAAAAGGAGGTATCTATTGTCAACTCTAGTTTTTATGGAAGTTTTAACATTTTATGAACATCTTATAGCATTAGCATTTTTATTTACGAATCCTTTTGTTTAATCCTAGCTCATAAATTAGAAAAACAAATACAACTCTAATTGCAAAGAGAAAAAAAAAATTATGTCTTTGATTGCTATTTATAGAGATGGTTTAGAATTTATCTTTTCACCAATTGGGAAAAATTGGAATTCCGTTGCCGGGACTTGAACCCGGGTCTCTCGGGTGAGAGCCGAGTATCCTGACCAACTAGACTACAACGGATTTGCTAGTAAACACACAACTCTCTATTTTGTTGTCAATCGAGGAAAAAGCATCTCAAATTTTATCAGAGTATATTTTTCCTCATCTTTTATTATTCATATTTTATGTACGGGAACAAAAATATTCTAGATACCCCTTTTTATTATGGATCGTCAATTTCTACAGTTCGAGTCTAGTTTTTTAACAACTAAAAATCAAAAGTTTGGAAGACGAAAAAAATATAAAGGTTTTGAAAAGTTTAACGTGAATAATTGAAAATTCCATAATAAATCAAGATTAACATCAGTTTTCAAAATGATTTTGGTCAACATTCACCATTAATATGAATTGAAGTAGATGTATTATCCCTTCTAATAGCATTTATTAACATGTCGCATCAATACACGGTGGTTTCCATAGACATTTTTTTAATTTTAGAAAAAAAAATGTAGACTTTAATATACTTGAATCTAGTTGGAATGGTAGTTGGGGAATGTATGTAGTTAGATTTGAATGGATATAAAAAATCAAAAAGTAGATCTGTTCAAATTTGTTCCAATTTTCCAATCTTAACTATTTTGCATTCTTTAAATGTTCTATAACGAAAATTTATAAAAGGCCGACAAGGAATTTCATTAATAACTGACCGTTTTGATCCTTTGAAACAACTCGAATAATTAGCTGATTTCTTTGTCATAAAAAAAGGAAAGAATGAAATAAAGGTGTAGCCCGGGTGGGGGTGGGNACAGTATCGGTTGCCTTCGAACCCTTTATAACAGTATCAGTTTTCTTCCCACCTTTAGCCCTAAGCTTCTGTAGCTTATTTACATCAAAAGCCCCAGAATCAGAACTTCCATTCTCTTTACCGTTAGCCTGTACTACTCCATTTCCATTACTACTGTTAGAATGGCCATTTTCCATGGCACGACTTTTTACTTTATCGCTATCACCACCATCACTTCCTGATTCAGAACCACTCTTTTTTTTATTACCTCCATTCGTAATGCCCTTTTGCACTTGTCCTTGCTTCTTACCTAGATTATTGGTGACAGGCTTGCCGACCTGNTACATTAAGTCAAGTGATTCACCTTCAAAATCAAAATAGTGAGAGATTACAGATGGGAAAGTACACAACCAAACTGTAGCAGCAAGGATACAAAGTGTTCACACTTCTTAAACAACACATTAGAACCAAACCAAATGACAAGACAGATTGTATGCTCTCATTTGAGGAGTGTTTTCACGATGGACTTAACATTCAGCTTCTTCAAGTCTGTGTAAGATTGACCACATCCCACAAACATGACGGGGGCACCGGATATATAAACCATGGACAATGCAGCTCCCACCTGCGACAAACGTTGAATATAAGAATACAACAACTACTACACCCTAATGCCAAACTCAAGTTGGGATCGGCTATATGAACCTTCACTAATCGTGTCGCTCCATTTAAAGCTTGAACAAGCCAATATTATATAAAAGTAACGCAGAAGTACAAAACTCTAGAAAATCCCTCTATTGTGTACTGGTATATAAATCTCTAGTATGACTAGAAAGCTTAGGGCCTAAAGTAAACGTACTAACATGACTAAAACATATTCTGATACTCAATCAAGCGTTGAATATCAGAATGATACTCGAATACACTGGGTATGTTGTTGTTGTTGTTNTTCCTAAGCTGCTGAAAAACATCATCAAATTCATTGTAAACAGTTTTTTTGGGGTCATAAATCTCCGAGAATTCCCGCTTAACCATAGCAAGCAATTCATCCACATACAAAAGATGAAGAATTCGCTGATACACAGCAACAAACACAAGCCCCAGTTCATTGTGAAACGTCCATTTAAGAGTGTATGCAGCTCCTGGTGCATCATAATTATATGAAGCAGCACCTGAACGTTCCTCCAAAAGACATGAACGAATCAACGTGTCAATTGGAGAACCTCTGAGAGCATTTCCAAGCTCTTTACATGTCCAGAGGATCAAGCCTCCTCTAGTGAATATCAGTAACTGCTCTAACATCTTTGGACTCTAAATATACCCCTGCAAACAAAAGACGTAGTTTTAAGAAAAAACGTCACTTCTCAGCTGGCAAATTAAACCCCTTAAAACAAGTGAAAATAAAACTTGCATTGTTGATGAATGTAGCTGGAAAAGAGAACCAAAATCCAGGTCCTATAACAGATTCAACGTATGGAAAAGTTAAGAACTTTTCTTCGCCTAAAAGAGGAAAGTGTAGCAATCAAGAAAGAAAAAGCTTACAACAACAACTACACCTCAATCCCAAACAAGTTGGGGTCGGCTAAGAACCAAAATTCTTAAAGAACATAACTTGGCAACAATAAAAATGCTTTAAGATTTTCTAGACTTTGAAAGCTCACATATCAAAGGATAGGGAGAAGGGCTAAAAAATCACAAAATAATATTCAATTACCTACACCACAATCACAAACTTGTTAGTTCGACTAAAATGAACGGGGAAGTGGTGCATGGTTCTAAACAGTGGCGGAGCCACCTAATACTAAGGGGTATCGTAGGAAAATTACACTGTTTAACTCAGTCAAATTTTTTAATTTTATGTATATATAATATATGTCCACTCCTCTTATTTTCTTCTGTGTTGACTTCTATATATTTTGATACCCCTTAGTAAAATTCCTAGCTCCGCCACTAGTTCTGAACTCGATGTATAATAGACCCGCACTTCTCCACTTAAATGCCAGGCTGTTGTCAGCAGCAACGTTCAAACCCGTGAAGTACGCCTAACCCATACATCACAAGCTACACTCTTACCACTAGACCAAAGCCCTAGGGGCATATCTAATATGCTCTATTCAGATCCACTTCTTTCTCAAACCAGTAAATAATTTATCTTTTAAAGCAAATTAAGAGTTTCCTAAACTAAAATTTATAGATTAAGAAAAGGCACATGTATCAAATTTAACGTCCTGCGCATACACAAGGGAATTAAAAATCTGAACTTTGACTTAAAAGAGAAAAGTATCAGAATTTATGAAAATCCCACAAATCCTCAAACCAAATCAAGTTAAAAAAACAATAAACCCACCAAATCTTTTTCATAATTCAAACAATCAAACTACAACCAAAACCTATAAAAAAATAAAAGTAAAAAATCATTTCCTCAATTAAACAAAAAAAAAAAAAAACTCNATATTAGCACTAAAAGCTCGTGTAGTAATAACCAGGCATCAAACTTATTTATGCAGAAGACCAATGACCATGTACCTTATCATCAATGGTGTCAAACTTGGTAAGCAGAATTCCATCGATCAACCTTGGATTTGGTGAGGGTGAAAGATCACCTAATTTCTGCAAGAAAAAAAAAACAAGAACGTGGTGAATCTAATGCGGGGACAACATTGAAGAAAAAGGATGTTTATTATCGCCATTATAGGCAAACCTGGTTGAACTTTGACAACTGATCAACAGCATCATTTCCGACAAGTGCCTCACCAACAAACAGGATCAGATCTGGACTATTGACATATATAAGCTTGGAAAGTGCTCGCATCAGCGGCTCATTATCCTGTGGAATAAGACAATTGTGCATAAAGTTAAAACAAGAAAAAAGAGTAGCTCAGCTTTTAAGGGTGAATATTGTAACAAACAATTGGAAACTCCTGTCCAAATACAACATATACAGCATCCAAGAAAATCTACTACTGTTTTACGTATCAATAAGTGGAGTCACATAATAAGTAGCCAGAACTCAGAAGGGACTTGGAGAAGCGCATTGGTAATGATACAAGGTAATAAATTGAAAATTCACTCTTACCTGCATACGACCAGCTGTATCAACAAGAACAACATCTGAACCATTTCGATTAGCCTCCTGAATTGCTTCCTTAGCAACAATAGCAGGATCCTTCTCATAGCCCTTCTCAAATATGGGGATCTGAGGATAAGACAACTCAATGTCAGAAACTAATACGTATAAACTCTCTCCCAACGAAGCGTGCATAAACTTTCCAACCATGATGTACCTGAAGTCTGCGTGCATGAGTACGCAGCTGCTCTACAGCTCCTGATCTGAATGTGTCACAGGCAGCCATCATTACATTGATGTTGTGCTGCTGAAGCCAATAAGCTACCTTAGCAAGATTGGTAGATTTTCCAACTCCATTAACTCCTACAAAAACCACAACATATGGTTTTCCTTGTTCCTTCGCGGCATGAACATCCCTCAAAATATCAATGGAACGTTTAGGAGTTAAGATGCGAACAAGGGCCTCCTCCATTGCTGCCTGTGGTTTAATCAATTCAACACCCCATATTAGTATGTCCAAACTAAACCAATAAGGAAAAAATAGACTGATGAGACTTTTGAAGTTTTGGCATGCAATTATTCGATTTTGAAAACATCCTTCCAATTTTAATCTTCTTTTTTCGTTTGGGGCTGTGTGTGTGTGAGTGGGGGGGGGGGGG